TTTCTCATTTTTTATGGTTGACTAGTAATCCATGTTATTAAAAAAGAAACACACACATTGTCTTTATCCAGTCTCCAGTGGATGGGCATTTAGGCTGTTTCCAAGCTTTACCTATTGCAAACTGTGCTGCTATGAACATGGGTGCACATATATCACTGTGGTATGATTCTTTTAATTCTTTGGGGAAGATACCCAGCAGGGGAATAGCTGGGTCAAATGGAACTTCCAGTCCTAGTTCTTTGAGCTATGTCCATACTGATTTCCACAGTGGTTGCACCAGTCTACACTCTCACCAGTAGTGGAACAGGGTTCCTCTTTCCCCACAGCCCTGCCAGCATTTGTTATTGGTTGATTTCATGATAGCAGCCATTCTTTCTGGAGTGGTTTGGAATCTCAGAGTTGTTTTCATTTGTATCTCTCGAATGACCAATGATGTTGAACTTTTTTTATGTTTATTTGCTCTTTCTCTTTCTTTGTCTGAGAAATGTCTGTTCATTTCAGATGCCCATTTTTGGATTGGCGCTTTAAATTTGGGAGGTCTGAGTTTTAAAAATTCTTTATATATTCTAGATACTAGATATTTGTCTGAGGAACACCAGGTGAAAATTTTTTCCCACATTGTGGGTTGTCTCTTCACTCTATTGGTGGTTTCTCTTGTTTTTATTAAGAGCATGAGTGGATCTTGCTTTTAGAAAAAGCATTTAGTTTTGATTGTTTGTGCTAGTTCTCGGGAAACTGAGGTTTTGTTCATTTCCTACACCAATGTCTTCAAGAACTCTACCTAACCTCTGTTCCAGCCAGTTCAGCATTTCTGTTTTAATATTTAGATCTTTAATCCATTTTGATTTTAGTTTAGTGCCTGGTGAGAGATATAGATCTAGTTTTTATCTTTGGCCAGTTGAAACCCAGTTTTTCCAACACCATTTATTAAGGAGGCTATCTCTCCTCCAGTGAGGGTGTTTGGCTCCTTTGTCAATGATGAGGTGGCTGAGTGTGTCGAGTTGTGTGTGCATCTTCTAATCTGTTCCACTGGTCCTCAAATTTATTTCTTTGCCAGTACCATGCTGTTTTTATCACAGTAGCTTTGTAGTATAGTTTCAATTTAGGGGTTGTAATACCCCCTGCTGTGTCTCTGTTACATAGAATTGCTTTTGCTATACTGGGTCTCTAACTCAAACTGGCCCCACTCCCCTTCCTGAAGGATAAGGCTGTGGATGTGGCTCAGAAAGCTCCAAACTTAAAATCATGACTCTTTCTGATGAACCACCTTCACCCAGAAACACATAAAGAGTGGATTTAGTAGATCAAAAGATACTCCAAAGGGAAGTTCCAAGAGTCTCATTGGTGGGAATCAGTGTTCAAAGGGTAAATATCAAAACAAAAGATTCTTCTAATACCTCTATTGCTCAGAAAATTGCAAAGGATTTAGGAGCACTTTGCCAGGAAATGGGCATAAAGATGTATAAAATATATACTTCTTATAATCACAATACCACAATTCATAAACTTAAATATATAAATACCTACATGTGTGTATATGTATATACACACACCTATATAAAAACATAATTCAAAGCAAAGTCTTGGTGTTGGTGTTTTTCTGGTGTGATTTTGTAATGTAGCTTTTCTGAGGTGGTGGATGTTGTTATGTGTAATTTGTCGCTAAAAATAGCACACAAATTTGAGTATAGTTTACATTTTTAAAATAAAATAATTCAAGCTAAAGCCATCATCATTGAGTTCTCTCTTACATTAATATTCCCTTTTGCCTTTTTATTTTTTTTAAATAAATTTTATTTTATTTTATCCCATTCCCCCCTTGAGTCCCCTCCCTTCCCTATGAACAAAGTAAAAATCAAATGAAAAAATGGAAACGCGGCCTTGTGCCTTTTTAATAGGGATTCCAGGAATGATTGTGGCCATTTGCCTGTGTCTGTATATGTAAAGACATCTGTGTGTCTTTTATATTTGTGTATTTTGTAGCAGGAAAAAGTATTGATCAGCTGTTGAGAGAGATGCTGCTTGCTCTGTGTATCCACTCAGCTGAGCTCCTGGATCTGAGCTGTAGTAGTAAATAGCACTGATTTAATAGGAAAACAAATAAAATTAGCCAGAAATTGATCCCCCACTCTAGAATAGGCTGTATAACCTTTACTGGATATTTACCCTATGTTTTATTGCTGCCAGTCAGAAAGGATCTGTTTAGAAGAAGATAGATCTTTTGCAAATGAGAAGGGGAATAAGGAATGCAGTGAAGGAGGGGAAGTAAAAAGAATGAAAGTATGTTATATCCCTGTACTAACTCCCCACAATGAATGTAATCATTATATACTAAAAACATGTACTAATAAAATTTGAAAAATTAAAAAATATGAGAGGCCCTGTTTAGTAGTAGTCCTGATTAGGGTAGGGCTTTTGTTTTCTAGTAAGTTTAAACACTATTATCTTACATACATCCTTTCATTACTCAGCACAGTTCCTTTTTCTTATTTTCTGAGCTACAACATGTGTCCGAAAGTCCCAACCAGTATATAAGATGTATATTGTACATGTTTTGCCCAATTTGGGCAGTTTGTGCATGCAATCACTATTGATGCAATGCTTGTTTGAAGTAAACACTGACTTAATTTCAAAGACAAGAAAATGCCAGTGAGCATCTTTTCCTTCATTTTATTAACCACCATCTTCCTAAAACAATAAGTTGAAATAGTGAATTTCACTAACCATATTGCCCCCAAACAACTGTGACCCAGAAATATGTATGCCTAGTTGGTTTATGTATCTGACTGATTCTTAATTTTATATACTTTCATGAGGATTTTCTTTTCCTCCTCAATATTTGGCAGTTGACTAAATTGTCAAAATAGAAAGCTGGACCTTTGCGAGATGGTAGGATATTTTCTCCCAGAAAGAATTTCTGTGTATTCATTTCAGGTCTTGGAGATTTGGGACTCATTTTCTTTGATGACCTGGTCCACCGAGGAACAAGAGATCCCTGTCTGTTGAGTGCTGATCCATTTTTTTTAAAGCTTCATATAATTGTTTGGTCAGTGAATTACACATGAAAATTTTACTACCACATTTACTGTGACATTGATAAATGAGCCAGTTTTTCTTTTCAGTCCTTAAAACCCAAAGTAGAAGAAATCCAAAGCCTTTTTTAATCTTTGCATATAACATTTTTACATATTCTGTACCAAATGATAACTCACATTTTTAATCTTTCATTTATTATCCTCTTCCACACATTCTTTGTATATAGTTTTCCAATGATGGTTTAAAGAATAACCGTATGTTTTTGAGGCTATGTATATAATAAAACTTATTCTTTGTATGTCTTGCCTCTTCATTGTATTATATACTATTACATATGTATGAGAGATAATAGTTAACATTCTTACAAACTTGTAACCACTGTAGATGTATCAGCTCAGATAACTGAATATCCCTACAAAATAGCTTTTATCTTTTTAAACTTAAGAGACTTAATTTAGAGCAGTTTGGGGTTTATAAAAAAACTGAGCAGAAAATACAGATTTCCCATGTACTGCCTCACTCTTCTACCACCCTATACATATTCCTATTATGATCAACCTGCATTAGTATTTTACATGTGTTCCAATTGAGGAGTCAATTAAAGTCCATAGTTTATATTATGACTCACTCTTAGTGTTGTACATTCTGTGGGTTTAGACAAATGTTTAATGAACTGTACCCACCATTATGGTATCTTGCAGAATAATTTCACTGCCCTAAAAGTTCCCTGTGTTCCACCTATCTTCTTTTTTGTTGTAAAGTAAGTTACAGCTAAGAGGTGAGATAATTTCCCACAAGTCACAAGCCTAAACAAGTGTGGGAACTGCTCTGCTTGCCTAGGATTTGTGCTTCTAATCATACATTAGACTGCCCTGTTCTCTGTAGCTCTTGAATTATTTGGGGAATGCTCACTTGATCAGATTCTTGTTAACTCTTACTAAATTTTATGAAAGAATATGGGTAGGGAACACTTTGCCTGTGCTTTCTTTTCTCCTTTGAAGTTAAAATGTGGGAAATATTGCAGGCATTTTAAATTACTGGGTATTCAGTGAGGCTTGTAAGTTAAAGAGGAGTTATTGAATGGAGAATTAAATAAAAGAAGAAATGCAAATGTCTCTTATCTGATCATTTGATTATCACTTATTATAGATGGCAGAGGCTGTATACAAGTCCATACTAGTTAGGACAACAAGTCAATGAAGAATGTACTAACAGAGTAAATTATTTTTTAACAATTGAACAATAAACAAAGGAGTATGGAGAAATGAGTCCAAGTTGCACAGAATGTAGCATATTACATTAATAACACAACTTTAACTTTGAAAGAAAAGGATTGCCATGAGATTGGTTTTAAAAACGTATGTGAAGAAAGAAATAAACATTGCCTGAAGTTTACGAAGTAGAGCGCATGTAAATTAGAAGGAATAAGCAGATGAGGTCATTTCATTTCGCCATGGGCTGTGGCTTCTGGTTACCACCGTTACCTTCCTACCAGAACTTCATTCCAGCCATGCCAGACAAGAAGGGCTGATTAGGACAAAGTCATGCCAAAAGCTAAAATGACAAATTTTTTTTGTATGAAAAAAAGAATGAAGAGGAAACAAATTGAAGGGAGAAAATAAAACACAAAAAGACAGTGATGTTCCCCTCTTTAAAGCCATCTAATTCCTTTTATTTTCTGGGAAACTACTTTTTAAACCTTTCTCTTCCTTCCTTGACTATTGGTTTTTAAAATCTCTTTGTTGAGCTTACATCTTCCATTCTTTTCTGGATGTTTCCCAAGATTCTGACCTCAGTCTTTGCTCTCAACATATTTTCCTTGATCATCCTCATTTAGACAACACCTAAACACATTTTTCTAATGATGATTATCCACAGACATTACTCTGTTTTCATTTGTGCCCAGGAGGTGAAAAATTCTTCGTGATCTTTTGCTGAATCATCCATTTTCTCTGTTTTTTAAGGGTCGTAAGAGTGAGGCTGAAAAGTTCTTCTTGAAGGCCATTGAGTTGGATCCCACCAAAGGAAACTGTTACATGCATTATGGTGAGTGGTTGATAGTTTTTTCCATTTCCCTCATATTTGCTGTTAATGTTCATATGAGACTGTTTTGCTGGTAAAAGGACATTTTGAAAGGCAAGTAAGTTTGTTGTTGCAGATTTAGCCTCATGCTACATTCTTATCTTGCCATTCTCAGAAGTCACATTGAAAAGCTTTGCATTGTACTTTTCTGCAGTAATTTTCATAGGAATTCAATGGGGAAGGCAATATCACAGTTCTTTCTTTCAAGTTCAGTGTGGAGTTTAAATGAGATCTCATCAGGAAAACATCTAGCTCCTTGCCTGATGCATGGTTTATAATAAAACTGTTAGCTTTCTTTTCATTCTAAATGATAATGTATTGCTCATTGAGCGTGCCTTTTAGAAATTTCAGAAGTTTACATCCTGGCTTGAAAATCTTGCTTTCTGGAAGATATGGATGTGTACTAGCCTTATAAATGCTTAAGAGCGACTCAAGGATAATCTGTAATAGATGTAAATGATGGTTGTCTCATTCTGTTTAGCCTTGGCCTGAGTTAGTCCAGAGTGGGCTTACATAACAACTCTGTCATACTCCACTCTGTCATTAGCAGTGAGTCATGTGTTTAGTAAAGCAAAGTAGATAGCTGGTTCTGTGTTTGGTAGGGTGTGCTTATTTCTACCAGATCTGCCCTTGGAATGGGTTTCAAGGAGCCAGCATTTACTTTTCTGGTGTCTTGAAAAAAACACCTTTTTTGATCACTGCTGGCTTTGATGTGTTAGTTATTATCAAGCAGTAAACTTAAAAGTGGACGGAAATTAAATCTTAAGGAAAGAGAGCTAATATGCTTGTATAATATTAAATTCCTTCTCCCAGTTTCCAGCTAGTAAAAATAAATCAGTGACAGGCTGCAAGTGTAGAAGAATGGAAATAATAAAATGGAAGAAACACTTAACCAACCACAAGTGCATTTTTAAATTTACATTATTGTTTATATATGTCCATAAAACTAGGATTGTGATGCTTTATCTTTGCAGCACAATGCAGGATGTAATTTCACATAAAGTTTGACATAAGCACTTCAGACTTTGTTTCACAATGCAGTTTTATTGCTCCATTAAGATAGCAGTCAACTAATTTAAATTTGCTGCAGAATTTACTTTTAATTTTACAGATTTTCTCTATAGGAAGTATTTTAAATTAGAATTTTTTCATGCCTGTTATTTCGGGTATACCTGCCATGCATGAAAGTAGTTCCGTGATTATTTTCTTTGAGTGCATTTTAGGAAATAGGATTTTATTCTGTCTCTCTCCCTGTATTTCTTTTGCTCCACACTCATTATATTTATTGAATTTATTTCTAATAATATTATTATGTAATATGTAAGTATTTTCACAATATTTTTAAACTTCATCATTGGTACGTTTGAATTGTACTTGTTAAAAAATTATCATTAGGATTTACTGTTGCTATTCTACCTTGTCCATCTTTACCTACTTCTGTAAGCTATTATTATTTTCATGGTAAATTATGTTCTTGATTTTTTTTCCAGTAGTAACAGGAGGGGGTATTTTTCCCATGAAAATTTTTAGTTGAACAGGAAATAGAAGAAATTTACAGGAAATTTAGTTAAACAGGAAATACAAGAAAATCTTCATTTTTACATGTTATTTGGAAAATAGTGATAATACATGTCTCTAAATGCATGGGTAAAAATTGATACTCCTTAGTACTCTTGAATTATTTTAAGTTTTTTGGCATATATATATATATATATATATTTATTTTCTCAGGCAAAAAATGATTTCATAATTCAATCTAATATTTTGAAATATAATTTTATGAAATTCTATAACATTCAGTATTTTCCCTATTTTGGAATCATAAACAGAAAAGACTCAAAATGAGACAGCTAAAAGGAGGAGTAATAAAGACAAATCATTGACAAACAAATAGGAAGCCCATAACTGAGTGCTTTGTATTTTTTGCTTACTTTGCTCAGGTTATAAAACTGAATACACTTAAAAAATTTTTAATTATTTCTATTTGGAAGAATTTATTTCAAGTAGAATTTTTAATTATTTTAAGCACTCTGATGTACAAACAGTGGATTGAACTAAGCCTAGGGAAATGAAAATGATTTGAACAAATTAATGTAGGTGAACAAATTTTGTCTCCTTGAACTACTAATTGTCTTTGCTTTTTCTTCTAAAATATATGTTCTGTTTTGTTTTACAATATTGGCAGATAAGCAGACAGACATTTTGATCAATAGTCCCTCAGTGAGAGCAGTATTAGTTCCATGACTTAGCTAAAATTCCTTAAGGAGTGATTTTGTATTACTCAGCTTTCTGTTGCTAGAACAAAATATCTGATCTATCCAACTTAAAGGAAAGATTGATTTGGGCTCATGGTTTCAGAGATTTCAGTCTATGATCAGCTGGCTCTAAGCCAGGAGCAGCATGGAGGAAGGGCATGGGGGAAATCTGCCGGTTCATGGCAGCTGGCAAGCAGGTAAGGAGGGCGGGAGGACAACAGAGAGAGAGAGAGAGAGAGAGAGAAAGGAGAGCCAGAGGGAGAGAAGGGAGCAGAAGAGAGACGGGCCAGGAACTGGAATACAGTCTTCCAGCCTATGCCCCCAATGACCCACCTTCTCCAACAAGGTCCCACCTTCTAGCAGCACATACAGCTATGAATTAATTCGTCAGTAGAGTAATTCAATGATGAGTTTAGCACCCTACAGTCCACTCCACCTTCCAAAAGCCCTACCTCTGAGCAAATGAGATTTGGGGGGAACATTTTAGATGTAAACCAGAACAGATTTTTATTTTAATACTTATAAAGAGGGGTCCACTAGGTTCCAGGTAATATTTATAAGATGGGTCCTCTGACTTTCTGCTGAGGAAGTTAGCAGTGCTCTATAGGAAATAAACAGGATGATGCCATCTTTGGAAGGTAATGAGGTAGAAAGTGAGATACTTTTTGAGACAAAAGCAGTCAAGTAAAGTTATCTGAGTGAGTGATATTTGAAATCACTGAGCTTAAACCAACTGTTTGAAGAGCCAGGCTCAGATGAAAGAAGTAGAAAGACAAGGGTCTGTTCAGCAGAGAACTAAGGCTCATGTGACTGGGTCATTGAACCATATGGGAAAGTGGGAGTAGATGAGGCTGCAAAAGAAGCAGCAGTAAAGCTCACAATGCTTTGCAGACCGAGCTGTACAGTTTGCATTTTACTGTAAAAGTAATGGGGCCACGTGGTGAAGGAAGACAAGATTATACAAACGTCAGAAAAGAACAAAGGAAAGTCGTCGGAGAACTATTGCTATGATTTAGACAGATAATGGAGTCTTTGGCTTGGGAGTGGGTAAATATTTATATTGAAATTACACATTTACCTCCTTTAGAAGATTCTAAATTAAGAATCGGGAGGAGATATTTTCCATTTTTGTACCATCAATGTCTAGAATATTGCATTTCAGTAGTGTGCAATAAATGTTTATTGAACTCAAGAATATTCTCCATTCTCGAACTGGATCTGATATATGAAATTTACTGAAAGAATGTTCCATTTGAATTTTTATTATTTCTTTCCCAAGAAAATACATATAATGATCCTCCCATCAGTTCATTGCCAACTTACTGGTTATATATATTCTTAGGGTGTTTATACCCACAGACTGAATGAATAAAAACACTTCCTCAGCTTAAAAATAAACGTTTAAATGAAATATGTGTTTTGAGTCTTTTTAAAATTCTTTCACAAATGCCAAGGAAAATGCCAGAGTGAGTGAATTTTGTTTTATGGGAAATTCACTTTCTTGGGTGATTAAGTGTTTTTAGTTTGCTTGTTAATACTACAAGTGACTTAGAAAATACTATTTATTTGGGACTAGACAGAGGGAATTACAGGAATTTATATTGGCAGCAATGGTGATTAGAAGATGATATTTAAGATGCTATCAGTTACTTGTACTTTGAATGCACTGGTTTTGCATCTGGGAAAGGAATTGCATTCAGAGTGCCTTTTTATTTTCCTTCAGGTTGATTATAAGATTGGTTCCATGAGTCAGTTAAATGTTAGCCTCTGAAGTCTCCAGGGTCTCTGGAGGAGAAAGAGCCTCCAGAATTCAGATTATTTAAGTTCAAAAATTTGATGTGGGGTTCCAAAGTGTTTTCCAGTTTCACATTTTATGGTATCTCAATGTTTACTCTTCTTTTCTCAAAGGTTTTTGGGACTGTGTAGAAAATAGTTTTCAAATAATGCCATCAGTAATAGTATGAGATATTCATACTCTCTCAAGCTTACTGTGTGCTCCTGTGACCATATGACACAAGTCATGTAAGTCCTAATGGAATTTGGTTTCTAAATCTTAACATGAGGATCTGCTATCTTGATGTCTCATGTGGGCTTGTGATTCAGGGTATTCTCTTTCCATCACCCTGTCTCCAATAGGAAAGGAAGCTTCTGCCATGAGAATCGAGGTCAGGACAGGTGCTTCTTTTTAAAAATGCTAGAAACAACATTTAATCAGGTGCATAGCAGTAAGTTTAGTGTAGATCTAAACAACTTAATAATAAATATTTATTGCCTGGTACTATGTATACTTCTTGGAGGAGGGGATTTTATTCCATATTAAGTATAAAATGTTGAAGGGAAGACTGGGATAAAGAGAATAAATATTCTTTTGTGTGGAACTTGAACAGTTTTCTTCTCCCACGTACCTCTTAACTAAGATTAAAACCTGTAACTTCATTTCCTTCATTACTGACTCTCTCTGGCAGATAGATGTTCCTTAGCTCCAAGTGCTGTGGCATATCATGTTGAGCCCTGAGTGTCATTCTTCCTCCAACTCCATGTGAATTGAGCATCAAACTAAACATCAGAACACAGCAAGGAAAAGACAAGCTCCCGGGGAGCTGACAAAGGGCACAAAAGGCACAATTTGTAAAAATACTGATTACTTTTAAAAAGGAGAAATAAAAAAATAGAAGGGCCTTGATGTGGGGCATAGGGATGCAAAACTAT